TCTGAAGGTTAGAACATCAGCACACAGATTCATTGCAAAGGCACACACACTTCAGCCCACAACTGTGTGCAATTCCCTCCATGCGACCAGGGGGAGAACTCCTCCAGTTCTTCCTGTGTGCCAGGCACCTCCTCCCACTCCTCTAAGCTGCGTTCCCCTTCATATGCCCATGACTTATCCCAAATGTTTATTCTTTTTGCTGGGTAACTGCAGTCATTTCTCAGTCGCGACTAACAGACAATGAGACATGCTAGGCACAGATGTTTCCAAATCTGTGCGTCTAGTGTCTTGGACTCAGAATGAGGCCCAGCTCACACATACTAGGCTCTTTGGTTGGGTTTTCTCATACTTTATGGCTGTGTTGTGGACTATTACTTCAACTGTGTAAAGGTGTGTTACATTCCCTTCTGCCGCTTTTGTTAATGATACAAAGACGTGTTACCTTTGCTTAACTAAATTGAGTTAACCTGAGGTCAGGAGGCTTGAGTCAGCAACTAGCTGACAGGAAGTGGTGGGGAGGAACTAAGTGGAGAGGGTTCTTTGGAAGGGGCTGAGCACAAGGACGGCTCCTTTTTCCGGGAGACACAAGCAAGGAGAGAAGGTTAGCTGTTTGCTACTCAGCCTCTCTGAGCTAGGAGGATTTCACCTCAACCTTTGAATCCTGAGTTCTATAGAAGGGTCGAGATTTAGATAGTTTCCTTTAGCATCTGTGAAAGAGGCGGTGCCTGAGGGAACAGAATTCCCACCTGGCTGGGAACAGTGTGGCCAAAACACTGCTGTAGCCACAGAGTTGAAATTGCAGTTGGGACAGCAGTTGCTTAAGGGGCAGCCACTGTATTGAATGAAAAACAACAGACTTGGGTCCCTAGATGCCATTTGCTGGTCCTGATTGCTGGGCCAAAGTGCTGTCGGGAATAGAAGCGTCTTCAGGAGAAAGGCATCTGTATTAGGTGCTCTTCTCAAGGCTGCGACCAATTACTTAACACCAGGCCACTTAAGAGAGAAAGCGTTTATTTTTGGCTCACAGTTTGAGGGGACACAGTCCATCATGGTGATGGGTGGCTCCATGGTGGCAGGAGTGTGCACCTGAGACCCTCACCTCTGATCTAGGAGGAACAAGAAACGAGAACAGATCAGAAGTGGGCACAGGTTATAAAACCTCAGTTTCTAATTTCAATAACCCACTTCGAGCAAGGCTCCAGCTCCTAAAGGTTTGAAGTGGCATCAGCTGGAAATCAAGCATTCAAACACAGGAGCCTATGGCAGGACATTTCCCATCCAAACCCACAGCAGGTCTAATGAAAGGAAGCTGGGTCATTGAGGACGTCCTTTAAGTGGGATATTGGGACTCTGGCTCTTGCCCACTCTCTCACTGCTCAGCACCGCTCTCAGTGAAGAGGTCTTGGGCCCCTGGGACAGCAAGTTCACTCAGGAGCCTGCATCGACCTCATTAGAAAAGTTGCTAAGTCCTGTGCCTGTCATCTCAGGCCATGCTGTGCATTCCATCTGTGGGAAGAAGCAATCAGCAACCGGAATCCTGAGGACTGCCAGCAAATGCTCTCCCCTCCACTGTCCAGGAGCTGTGGGGCATCTCAGAGCAGGAACGGAAAGCACACACCTCTTCTGGTGTCTGGAGTTAAATCAGGATTCTGGCTCCGGCTGCACAAGATGATGGGTGCTGGTTGGACTTGGCCTGTGTGTGGACGCGGAAGTAGCCATAATGGTGGCACATCTGGTCTTTGCCATTCTTTTGTTGGTCAACCAGCTTGTTCGCCTTGGGAGTCAGTTGTTTTCTCTAAGGGGCCGGCAGGCCAAATTCTAATCCACACACATACTTGTCCTGGGGTTCTCTTCTGCACTGGGAGCCAGGGCAGTGGCAGGAGAAAAAGAGACTAAAGGATGACAGATCACTCTCCGAGGTGGGATCCTCTTCATTAGGAATGAGACTCTCTGACCTCCCTTTGTCCTTCTGTGTCCCATTCTTTCCCCGGTGTGCTTGCTGCCCATGGCCTGATGACATAGTTCCAGTATGTCCCGTTGCCTTTGTCCACATAGACTGGCATTGCTGTGCTTAGCGCTGACTGCACAATCCCATGCCAGGGCTCTGTCCTGGCAGGTCTGGAGCCCAGGTCCCCTCTTGTACCATTGGTGCTACTACGTGTACTACAGTACTCTGTAGTGTGGGGCCTGAACTAGGAGATGGTTTGTGTTCGTGAGCCGGGCAAGGGCCTGGAGATCTAAACATACAAAGACACACAGACAGAGACACGGGCCATCCTTGAAACAAGAACGCCCCTTTATTGTCAGCAGTCCCCAACATATCCCCCTTTCCTATATAATTAGGACTGGCATAGGCGTGGTACAAATATGATCTGCCGCCAGGACCACAGTGGTGACAATAGCAGCCACTACAGGCCACGGTGATCCTAAAGTCTCTCTCAGCCTGGATGGTGGCCCATCACCCACTGCCTCTGGGATAAAGCCCGTCATTCATGCCACAAACTCTTGGGTGCACAGAGCCGGAACTGTCATGGCTCCTGGTACCACCTTCTGGGCCTCTCTGCGAGCACTCACAGCAGTCCGCTGCCTCCCTAGCCACCTTCTGGCCCGAGCCACTTCAGGTTGGAAATAGTTTGGGGGAGTGGAGCAGGACTCTGAACCAAGCTGCCACCTTCCTCTGCCGCCTCAGTGGTCACCTCAGTGCTCGTCACAGCCACAGCCTACAGCGTCCCCCTCGGCCCCACAACCTCCAGTAGGGAATTTGGGTGTAGTTCTGTTCCAGCTACTTCCTGCTGTTTATTGGGCGAAGTATCTTTGGGGGCCCTTCATGGTGACCTTCAGGGGGTCTGCACTCATCTCCAGTCAAAAAAGAAAACACAATAATTCAAAAAAACCAAAACACCCCACAATAACATACATCTGTGCACATTCCATCTTTCCAAGACCTCCAGTTCACCCTCCCACCTTCTCTTTATTACTTTTCTTAATTTCCTGCCTTCTGGAAGGCGTCCCTCAGAGAACCCCTGGTTCCCAATCTCTGCAGTGCCTCCTGCTGTGGCACCTGCACCACCAGCAGCCACTACCAGGCAAGGGCCTGGGGGTCAAAACGCATGTGCCCATTTTCAATTCACCCTCACCATTCCGTTCCCAAGGGCGGTCTCTCAGGGATCCCCAGTCCCCCCCATCTTGCTGGGGCCTCCACGTATATCATCCATCTGTACTGCATGTACTACGGGACTAAGCCTGTAGTGCGGTGCCTGCATTGTGAGGTGGTTAGTGAGTCTTGGGCAAGGGCCTGGAGATTTAAACACACAAAGACACACAGACAGAGACATAGGTCATCCTTGAAACAAGAATGCCCCCTTTAGTGTCAGCTTATATAGGGCTCTGGCCATGCTCCAGCTCTTGGGATCTTTCAGCTGCAAGCCACCGGAAACCACTCCCCCGCCATCAGGGTCTCATGCTCAGAGCAGCTGCAGGCTGCTCAGAGCAGAGGGAAAAAATCGTTTACAGGAAATTCAGGGTCTGGTGGTCTGCAGTCCCCAACACCCTCTCTGATCCTCTGCTTATCCTGGCTCCCACCCTGCCTGCCTCTTGAGGTTTCCATTCTGAGCCCCGTCAGAAATGGACCCCTGTGCAGGGCCCTTCCTGGTAGTGTCCAGCAGGGAGGTTTGTTTCTTTCCCAGGTTAGCACAGCTGACTCTCCTGTTTGAAGCTAGGCTGTTGTCCTCCAATTCAGAGCCAGACTATGACAGTCAGGCTCCTACGTGTTCAGGAGACAGCAGTTTGCAGTCGCAAAACCTGACAGCCGGAACTTAGGGAGGAGGGCCCAGGTTTTCCTCCCTTCAGAAAGAGACGTGAAGGTCCAGAGCAGACAAACTATCCAGAGTTACATAGCTCAGCAAGGGGCAAACCTAGACCTGCTGAGCCTCAGGGGCAGTGGTCTGTGGCTTTTCCCACTTCCCTTTATTGGTCTTTCTCAAAAAGGAAGAAGATCCAGAATGAGGAGGGGGGGGGGAGGGAACGAAGAAGGGAAGAAGGAATAAGACACTATCACTAAGGAAAAGGTATTTTGGCTGATAAAATGATTCAATGGGTGCCGGCTTCCACCAAGTCTGAGGACCTGAGTTTGATTCCTGAAACCTACATGGTGTAAGGCAAGAATGAACACCAGCACGTTGTCCTCTGATCTCCACATATGTGGAGAGAGAGAGAGAGAGAGAGAGAGAGAGAGAGAGAGAGAGAGAGAGAGTTCATTTGGTAAAGTACTTACTTGCCTAGCATAACCTTGGGTACAATTTCCAGCATACATGAACCGGACGTGTAAGGCCCTCGTAATTCTTCGATTGAAAGGTGGAGACAGGACCAGGAGTTCAAGGTCACCCTTCTCTACCTAGCAAGTTTGAGGCCAGGTTGGAGGCTGTGGAACCTTGTCTCAGGAAAAAATGGGGGGGGGGGAAGAAAAAGGAAATGTTTTAGTGGGGAATGTGGGGGGGCCACTCCTTGGCTTCAAGCATTCCTCCACAAACCAATAGCTGTGTCAGAAGGGGCCTGACTGGCCTCGTGTGTCTCACGGCAGCTTGGATTGAGTGCCCTTGTTATCCACGACTGCTTAACAGAAGATGGAAGGCTGTAAGCACTTGTTAATCTGGAGAAAAACTTGCAATGGAGGATTGCGACAAGTATTGATGTGGAGCATTTCCTGAGCCACTTTGTAGGGCCGGGTCACTAGAACACGGCTCTAACGCAAAGACCCGCTCTACCTCCGAGTTCCATCTCGGGGCCATCGCTGCTGCACCTCCGCCCCAGAGAAACTGGACCTCAGTTCCTGGAGAGTCACTCAAGCTCCGCGGGGACACGCAGCATCGGATTTCGCGTGGCAGCCCACCTTCCCTTACTCCGATCCCCCTCCCGTCTGGGGACCTGGAGCCAATCACAGAGCTACACAGCTCCGGGTTGTAAAGTCCCGAGTCCGGGACCCGCCCCTCTTTGTTGCGGTGTCCAATGGACGCCTCCAGAACATCGGCGGCTGCCCGGGTGACTCGGTTATATGTCACAGAATAACATTCGAGAATGGGCGATGGAATGAGCCAACATTCTCCACAGCTCCAGCAGCCCTCTGCAGCAATGAGGCCGGCTGGCTCGAGGTGGGTCCCAGTGCCCCGCGCGCGCCCTGACCACCGCAGCTGCCACTCACGGTGCCCGCGCGGGACCCGAGGGAAGGGGGCGGCGCTGCGCTTGCCCGGGAACCCCGGCTGGAGCCGCCCCTCGCGCGCCAGGGTTTGGGGGGCTTCCGGGAAGACGCCAGGCCTCCTTAGCAAGCAGAAGCCGCTGCGGCACCCTCGCTCCAGCCCTGGGTGCTCACGTGCCTGCTGGCTGTGGGTCGGTGGCGATCCATCACATCTGGGGACCCGGGAATGAGTGGAGCCTGGAGGGTACCCAGGCTTCTTGCTACACAGCTGTCTTGCTTCTTCCCACCCCGTCCTCTCTGCACCCCGTGCTCTTTGCATGCCTCCCCATCCCCGGGTGCAGCTGGGTGTGAGTCTTCGTGGCGCCCTTCCAGCCGCCTTGCTAGGTAATCCGCCGGGCTAGAGGGTCGCGTTAGTCCTAAAGGGGTGGGTCTGGGGCAGGGAGGCTGGGGATGGGCGGGAGCCTGTCTGAGTCTCAGTGTGTGCTGTTTCCACTGCTTTCAGGCCCGGCCAGTGAGTGGGAAGCCCGGCAGTTTCCCTAGTGCTGTCCTGCAGCCGTGAGAGATGAAGGCCAACCCCACGGGGCTCTGATCTCCAGCGCGCCCAAGTCCCCCGCCGCGTGCGCCTCACCATGACCGGCTCCGCCGCGGACACTCATCGCTGCCCCCATCCCAAAAGCGCCAAAGGCACCCGGTCCCGGAGCAGCCACGCGCGGCCAGTAAGCCTCGCCACTAGCGGGGGCTCGGAAGAGGAGGACAAAGACGGCGGGGTGCTGTTCCACGTGAACAAGAGTGGCTTTCCGATCGACAGCCACACCTGGGAGCGTATGTGGCTGCATGTCGCCAAGGTCCACCCCAAAGGGGGAGAGATGGTGGGCGCCATCAGAAATGCTGCCTTCCTGGCAAAGGTCAGTGGCGCGGCTGGAAGAAGGTGGGATGGTCCGGATGGGTGGGATGGGACCAACTCAGTCAGGACATAGCTGGAAAAAGCAACCTCGAGTCCAGCGACTGAGTCCAGAAGGGGCAGGCAGCAGACTTGCTGACTTGGCCATGTAAGGTTAGGCTGAGCCAAAATCCATTATGTACCCAGCCCCTGCAACATCTTCTTCATCAAAAGCTAGTGTCACCAAGTCAACTCCAAGCCACTCCAAGAAAGCATAGAACCCCAAGTCCACTCCGCCTGTCCTCCGTGGTGTCTTTTGCTCTTCCCCTGTCCCCCTAGCAAATGGTTTATGGAGCCGTGAGTGAACTTGTAACCAACCAGCCAGACTCAGACTCCTCAGCGTGAATCATTTCTAGACTTTTACCAATTCTTTTCTTTTCCTTTCTCTCCTCTCCTCTCCTCTCCTCTCCTCTCCTCTCCTCTTCTCTCATCCTTTCTCTCTCTCTCTCTCTCTCTCTCTCTCTCTCTCTCTCTCTCTCTGACAGTGACTTTACCTCTGGAGCTTGCAGAAACAGTCAACTGTCTCTTCCCAGTTTATCTGGCACCAAGGGGGAGAAACGGGAAGTGTTTGGCTGTGGCTTAAAAGGGACTTTCCAGTACACAGGATGAATTAGTCTCCCCGCGTAAAGGAAGAGGCCGAGTGAAGCTCTCTTTTTACTCTGGAGAGCAGCCAGCCAGCCAGCGATTCAACTCGGTGACCAAGGATATGGTTACAGAGGGAGGATGTCCCCTGGTGGGAGTGTCTTGTTATATAAAATAGCAAAATGCAAGCTAGGTGAAAGCCTGGTGTGCCACTATGGAGAGGGCTGCCCAGACCCTAGGGACCCTGTTTGCTGAGGAGGATCCTAAGAAGATGCAGGAATCACTGCCTGAGACCCAGAGCCATGCGGTAGTCAGGTCCTAGCCTGCGCAGAGCTGAGCATGCAAGCCTGCAGACCAAAGGCTGTGTACGCCCTTGGGGAAGTGGAGGAGGCTCTCTGCTTCCCGCTCCCTGCTCCACTGTGTTTTATTACTCTGCTAGGCAGGGAATTTATTCTGTCCAAATCGCAGCTTGTCTGGTGAGAAGCTGATGCCCGAGCATCAGCAGGAACAATCCCTGCTCTTGAACACAGACAGCCCGGGCTCTTGAGTTCGTCTTTCTCTCCTCGTCATGATCCACCAGAGTCCTTAAACATGGAAGAGGTGGCCAGAGGGAGCCGGGCTGAATGGCACTGTCTGGGCTGGCTCTCTGATTCTCTTACCTCCCTCATTGTGCCTTCATCGTCCCCCAGTTCCACGTGTGGGAGCCCTTCTCTGTGAACAAGCATCGCATCTCATTCAAGTCCTCCTGAGGGGGGATTAGTACAAGACAGCGACCCCCTGCCTCTGTCTCTGTGGCCTCCTCTTCCTTCCCTTTCTCCTCCTCCTCCCTCATCTTCCTCCTCGTTCTCTTCTTGCCAGTGCCAGTCTGCTCTTTCTGGAACCTTGGCTCATTTGCCACCAGGCGGTCCTCGGCATGAACACATACGAGATGCAGTATGCTCAGTGTTGCTGAGGTCATGCTTCCAGTGTTATAGCGGAGTGCTTTCTTTTCATAAAAGAATGTTCCAGCCGGGCATGGTGGTGAATTCCTTCCTGTAGTCTCAGTACCTAGGGGGGAGATGCAAGAGAATTATAAGTTCTAGGTCATCTTGGGCCCCACAATAGGTTCAAGGCCAGGCTGGAATGTGTATTGGGACTCTGTTTCAAGAAAAGAAGAATAATCTTGTATTTTATATTAGAGCCTGGTGACAGTTGCTGCTAAGTCAGGACACGCCTTGCCCAGTGTTGGCTGTGGGCTGCATTAGATTTATTGTTGTTGCTATTTATTTGTTTGCTCTTTGTTTTTTTGAGACAGGGTCTCACTCTGAACCCTTGGTTGGCCTGGAACTTGCTCTGTAGACCAGACTGGCCTTTAACTCAGAGATCCTCCTGCCTTTTTTTTTTTTTTTTTTTTTT